CAAGAAAGGGCCATCCTCTCTCCCCATCCAAGCACTTTGCACTCTTTTCTGCTACTCTGAGGGCAGACTCCTAAGTCTTCAACAGAGGCCTCATGGAGAGTGAGGTGGGGGTGGGGAAGGGATGACCAAAGGGAAGTTGCTGCCCTGTGAGTCAGAATCTCCTGGATTTCTCATGGTTCCCAGCAACTGCTCCTTAACTAGAACACCCCTTATGAGCTGCTTTACCATTCGTCAGCTAGCAGAATCAGGTCTCAGAGGTATTTCCATTCATCTCCTCTGGAGGGCATCTCATCCAGTCCCCTGGCCGAGGATGTTGTATACATCCTCTTTGGCAAATAGTTCTTTGTATCTATCCTGCATCCCTCTTGCTGTGATTTGAGCTTAAAGTCAACATTTGGAATTCCCAGGTTGTTACTCCTCATGTAAAAGAAGAAAAAGGATCCCCTGTAAAGCCCAAGGCGTAGACAGTTTTGTGCTAGAATACTCTGGAAGGAGCTTTCCGGCCTCAGTCTCACATCAAGACAGTCAATTCCCACATTTTAGGAGGCCAGCCTCTATGGGGGCTCCAGTTCACCCTGGAAATTTTCCCACAAAAGGATTTAACCACATGTCTACTTTACCTTTGCCTGGTAATGGCCCCCCCCCCCCCTTCAACTCCTTCGTTCCCTTCATGAGAAGCGTCTGGAATTTCCCTTGGGCACAGGCCTGAATGGAGAGCATGTGAAGTATACATTGTGAAGAAGGGACAGTCACCCGGGACTGCCAACCGCTGGAGGGGAACTGCTGAAGCGGAGTGACAAATGCCTCTTACCTTGGAGTAGGAGGAAGCCAAGGATCACCCAGCACAGCTGCATTGCTCCAACGGTCCCCATGTCAGCTGGGTCTGTGGCGGGCAGGCAGCCGCTCCACGGTGGCTCTGTCCATAGTGGAAAAGAGAGAGGGAGTGCTGGGGCGGGGTGGGGGGTGGGGGCTGGCTCTCTAGCAGCTTCCTGTCAAAGAATAGAAGGAAACAGATTGGGACTGGCTCCAGGGGCCCTGATTAGCCTGCAGCCCAGACAGAGGATGTAAGGCTGAAGCGGCAGGCACTGTGCCTGGGGCTCTGTGGGCCAAGCTAGAGCCACTATGGTGTCCTCTAGGGCCTTTATACAAAGATCAGCAATGACAAAGTGGCTCTGTGAACCCTCTCTTTCCCTCTGAGGGGTCCATCAGGTCCCTCCACTTATCACCTAGAGGCTTTTGGATGTTTTCCTGGAGTCTAACTCCAATCCCTCCCCAGTCTGTTTCAGACCAGGTCCTCCTGGTCTCTCCCATGACTGAGCCCTAAAGCTGGGCCCACCAGCTGCCCAGGCTTTGTAGACTCTGAATATGTCACACTCTCCTTCCTCCTCAGGGCTCCCAATGCAGATGGGACTCCCAACATCTTTCAGGGAGGCCATACAAACATTATTATTATTATTATTATTATTATTATTATATATTTTTAAATAATCTCTACAACCCACGTGGGGCTTGAACATACAACCCTGCGATCAAGAGTCACATGCTCCACCGACTGAGCCAGGCAGGCGCTCCTATTGTTATTCTTTTTTTTTTTTTTTAAGTTTATTGATTTATTTTGAGAAAGAGAGCAGGGGAGAGGCAAAGAGAGAGAGAGAAAACCCCAAGCAGAGTCTGCACTGTCAGTGCAGAGCCCAACGCAGGGCTCAACCTCACAAACCGTGAGATCATGACCTGAGCTGAAATCAAGAGTCAGATGCTCAACTGCTCAACCAACTGAGCCTGAGCCAGGCAGGCAACCACTCCCCCCGCCCCCCGCCGCCATTTGTTACTCTTAATAGAAAAACAAGGGGACTACATTTATTTTAAAAAGAAAATATTTTTTTAATGTTTTTTTATCTTAGAGAGAGAGAGAGAGAGAGAGCGCAAGAATGGGGGAGTGGCAGAGAGAAAAGGAGACAATCAATCCAAAGGCGGCTTCAGGCTCTGAGCGGTCAGCTCAGAGCCCAACACGGAGCTTGAACTCACGAACCACAAAATCATGACCTGTGCTGAAGTCAGACACTCAACCAAGTGAGCCACCCAGGCGCTCCAAGAGGACTACATTTCAAGCCTCCCCCGTCCTCAGCTCTCCCCTCACCTCCCCTCTCCTGGAATCAGGTGTTCCCTGTGTCCCAGCAGCACCCTGTCTTTAGCATCCATCCCGTGGCACTCTCTTGTGCAGATGCAGGCCAGCAGTGTCCCTAGGACCTGGCACAATGCCTGTGATATAGCAGGTCCTCAGAACATATTTACTGAACTAAACTCAAAAGATTTAAGAGCAGAGAAATGTTACACACAATCCTACTTCTTTAATAGAATTTTATCAGATTGTGGATTTCCTTCCACTCTATGCATTCCCGGTGGTGACAATATGCACATATATATGCAATCATATATTGCATTGATTGGTGTCCTTTTCTCCCTTCGTTTTAATTTTTTTAATGTTTATTTATTTTTGAGAGAGAGTGTGCATGTGTTTGTGTGTGCGTGTGCATGCGCACATGAGTGGGGAAAGGGCAGAGAAACAGCAAGTCACAGAGACAGGCTCCAGGCTCTGAGTTGGCAGCACAGGCGCCTCAATTTTTTAATAAATATTTTATTTTATTTTATTTTTTATTTTTTAATGTTTATTTATTTTTTGAGAGAGAGAAAGAGAGTGCAAGCAGGGGAGGGTCAGAGAGAGAGGGAGACACGGGCTCCAGGCTCTGAGCTGTCAGCACAGAGCCCGATGCCGGTCTTGAACCCACCACCATGAGATCATGACCTGAGCCAAAGTTGGATGCCCACCTGACTGAGGCACCTAGGTACCCCTAAATATTTTATTTCGGGGAGACTGTTTGGCTCAGTCAGTAGAGCATGTGATTCTTGATGTCAGGGTCATAAGTTCAAGCCCCATGTTGGGCCTGGAGCTTACTTAAAAAATAATAAATAGAGGCGCCTTGGTGGCTCAGTCAGTTGAGTGTCCAACTGACTGGCTCAGTTGGTAGAGCATGTGAACTCTCGATCTCGAGGTTATAAGTTGAAGACCCATGTTCGATGTAGAGATTACTTAGAAATAAAATTTTTAAAAAATAATTTTTAAAGTTTATTTATTAATTTTGAGAGAGAGAGAGAGCAGGAGCAGGGAGGTGGGCAGAGAGAGAGGGAGAGAGAGAGAATGCCAAACAGGCTCTGCACTGTCAGTGGGGCTTGAACTCATGACCTACAAGATTGTGACCTGAGCCAAAACCAGTCATCCCTCATTCTTTCCCTTGTGCATGCACCACCCTCCCTTCCAGTCTGGAGACCAGATCACCCCTGGGAACTCTCCTCACCCGATGGCTTGATCTCAAGAGGCAAGATGTAGCCTCTTGATTCCCTGTCTCTCAGCCAAGCTGTTCCACACTCTGACATTCAGGGATCCCACTCAGATCTCCGAGCTCACTTAAGCCCAGGTCACTGGGCTGTGGACCTTACCTGCCAACTGAGTGAGACAAGTGGCTGGCTGGCCTTGAATCCAACTAGGAGACTGACACTTCCCAATGCCATCCAAGACCTCAGCCAGAGGGAATGTGGATTTTGCCACAGTCCAGGGCTTCAACCACTGCTCTTTGCTTCCTGCCTCCTCAAGACACATGTCCCAGTGCTCTCACAGACACCACCACTGGGGCTCCAAGTCCCTGAGTCCAAAAGCCCGGTTCCTGATCCTGCCGATGGCTAACCTCTCCTTTCCCTGGTGGGCACTTTTTGTGACCTGAACACATTGAAGCACACACATTCTTAAATGAAATTACATTTCAGGCAAATGCAAAGAGGCATATAGAACTCATATTTGTAAAAACCAAAGAAGAAAAAATCCAAAGAGAAAAAAAAAAACAGCCTTGCATGGGAATGATAAACATCACATTCAACAAGATGGTTATCCATGGGGTAAGAAGGAGGGGTGTAGTCAAGGAGTAGGGCTTCTATGTTATTTGTAATATTTTAGTTTTTAAAAAAACTTTGAGGGGCACCTGGGTGGTCCAGTCGGTTAAGCATCCAACTTCAGCTCAGGTCATGATCTCACAGTTCGTGGGTTTGAGCCCCTTGTTGGGCTCTGCTCTGACAGCTCAGAACCTCGAGCCTGCTTTGGATTCTGTCTCTCTCTCCACCCTTCCCCCACTTGCACTCTAGCTCTCTCTCTCTCTCCAGAATAAATAAACGTTAAAACAAATTTTTTTTTAATAAAAAAATTTAAGGGGCGCCTGGGTGGCTCAGTTGGTTAAGCGTCCGACTTTGGCTCAGGTCATGATCTCGCAGTCCGTGAGTTCGAGCCCCGCGTTGGGCTCTGTGCTGACCGCTCAGAGCCTGGAACCTGTTTCAGATTCTGTGTCTCCCTCTCTCTCTGACCCTCCCCCGTTCATGCTCTGTCTCTCTCTGTCTCAAAAATAAACGTTAAAAAACCTTAAAAAAAATTTAAAACAACTTTTTTGAAATAAATGTGACAGACTCTTGAGCTGGACAGAGCTGGTGGTTGGAACAAAGAGATTGAGTACATTATACTCTACAATTTCCAGTGTGTTTGATATACAGTTTTTTTTTTTTTTTAAATCAAAGAAACAGTGACTTCAGGAAATCAGTTGGGGTGGGGAGTCGGCATGTCATGGTGGAGGGTGGGGCGTAGTGGGGGTGCTGGCAAGGTGTCTGGGATCTAGTGGAAGAGGAGTAGGCAGCTAGACCCAGGCTCCTGAAGCTGGCAGGGAGCATGGAGGGAAGTGCCAAGATCAAGATCCTATCACAGTTCAGGGTTGGGACAGGGGAGTCCTAATATTCACGAAAGTGAAAGCGCGGGAGAGACGTTGAGGGTGTGTGCGCAGAGGGTGTGTGCCTGGTAAACCCCATAGACGTGGCAGCTCCGGGTAGGGGCCAACCAAGCTGGGGTAGCAGGTTCTTCCTTGCCCTGCTGGCTGCCAGTCCCCAGGGAGCCTTGCACCAGGCGGACAATGCACCAGGTAGACTCTTGGCTCACCCCCCTCCTTCTAGGCTGTCTGACTCCCTGCAGGGGCCCCAAGCCTTTCACCAACCTGAGCTTCTCTTTTTTTCTCCACCCGTGCCCTGAGAGCTCCAGAACCTCAGGGAGCCCAGAGAGCCTTAGACTTTCAACTGGGGGTGGGTACTGAGCTTTCTACATGCAAAGCGACAGTGTTTGGGTGGGACGGGGTAAACAGTGTGACTGAGAAACTAAAGGGAGAGTGTTCTAGATAGCCTTCCCTGGACGGAAATTGCCTTTCCTTGGGGAGGGCCAGGCTGATGACTCAGGTTTGGGGGAGAGGCTCCACTCCAGAGGGTCTGCCCCTGATGGTCCAGCTGGGGAATAGGAGGCTAGGGAGAAAAGGTTTCTTGAGCCTATGGTGACCTAATCAGCCAGCTCTGGTGTTTATAGTTTGGAGGTTTGCTACCTTCATGGCAATCCCTCCCACCCCTACTCAACAGTTAGCAGAGTGGAGACAGACAGACATGACCCCCAACTTCTGGCTGGGATCCTGGAAGAGGTAGAGGCTGGCATGGATTCTCCTCAATCCATCCTGGACAGAGTCAGGAATCCACACGGGGCACCCCCTCCCCTGTAGGTCCAGATCCTGAGACCCCCAACAGGATCATACATTATGGGCTGAGGTATCCCCTTTGCTTCATCCCAAGCTTTGGGGGTTCTTGACTCACTTTCCTTTCACCCTCCCCCAGGGTACCACCCCTCTGCCTTCTGTGTGAGTTGAGGGTGATGGGAACCTGAGATGCTTGACATATTGACTCCCTTTTCCCAGGGCCTGAAGAAAGAGCTGCTCACTGCCCACTGGCCAGGATGTGGGATAGCAGCCCCTAGTGTGCTCAGATTCCTGACCTAGGACATATTATCTATTTAGGAATTTTACTGGAGGCCTGGGAAGAGAGAGCATTGGGAGGCGACGGACTTGGTGGGCTGAACTCTATATGCCAGACTGTAATGAAGACCCTCTCCATCCCTTTCTGAACAACTTTGTCTCCCTATCTCTGTTTCTTTTTTCTCTGTATCTATCTCTCTGTATCTATTTCACTCCTATCCTTTTATTTATCTCTCTCTTTTTCTTTCTCTTCTTCTCTTTGTGTTTTTCTCTTTCTCTCTGTATCCTGCCCCCCCCACCCGTCTTTTTCTTTAATTCTCTCTCTTGCTACCTGTGTGTTTATCTGTATGTTTCTCTTTGTCTGCATGTCTTTACTCTGTCTCTCTCTTTTTTTGTCTCTGTTCCTCTTTGTCTGCCTAAGGCTCTCTGTCTGTCTCTCTCAGTTCCCTCCAGGTGTCTATCTCTCTCTAACTTGCTCTTTTTCTGTGTGTACATGCCCATGTCACCCTCTCCCTCTGCCACTCCCCTACCAGGCTGGCCCCCATCCCTGGTCTTCTCCAGCTGTGAACGGGTCAGCGGGGCAGGAGCCCCAGAGGCAGCTCCCGGATATGCTGAGTGGGGCTTGGGAACCACCTCGAGGAGATGGGCTGCCCCTGCTCACTGTCATCGTCACTGCCTTTGTCCTGCTGGCAGTCTGTATTGTGGTGGCAGTCCACTTTGGGCCAAGACTACATCAGGGCCATGCCACTCTCCCCACACAGCCACCAGCCCCGAAGCCAGAGGGCGGCATCTACCTCATCCACTGGCGTGTGTTGGACCCCTGGGACAGTCATGAAGATGCCCAGCAGGAACCTCCTGTCCCTGGCTCCTACCCTGTGCCAGATGGGCCTACGCTCAGCATTGAAGAAGTCACATATCTATAGGAGGAAGACTTTGAAAAGCTGGGCTGACCTGGCTCAGAACAAGCAACTGGACAGAGAATTAGGGCAAAAGAAAATTGGGTCTTGGGCATCAGAGCTTTGGAAGGGCACACATGGACTCAGCAGGAGCTGCTCTCCCTGCAGAATATTTATAGAGAAAGCCCTGATGTGGACAGGAGAAATAAAAGAAACTTGAGGGCTTTGCCCAGAAACATGCTGCTGTGAGCATTCCGAGTGCCAAAGGCCACCTTTACAAAGCTACCCTCTCCTTTTCAAGGACCATCAGATCCCTGACCAAGTCCTCACTCTCTCCTCTCATCCCTAATCTCCTTTGCTTTTGTTGTTAATGTGAGTCCAGCTTGAAAGATTCCACCACCCACTCCACCTCTGTGCAGGGATATCAGAGTCTCCCTGTGGAGGTCCCGTCCCCAAAGCCCCCAGGTCCTGTGAGGGCCAGCCAAGGAGAGGGAAGGCAAAGAACCCAGGGGTCTGCCTTTTCCGGGACTCAGGAAGAGAAGGAAAATTTGCTGCCTTTCACTGATTGAAAGACATCCCTTTGGCTTTTGGTGTCTAGGCCTTGTCAGCAACTTCCGAGGCCCTTGCAAAGCCCCAAGCACCAATTCTAGCTCCTCAAAATGCTTTTGAATGCCTTCCACTGTGTTGGGGCAAGACCCTGTCTCGCCTTCCCAGTGTGGGATGGGGGGATTTGGGAGATTCCCATTACCTCCCCTGTTCTGTGTGTATAGGCCTATTGGAACAGGCCTAAAACTTATCCCTGGACATTTCCCAAATCCGGAACCTTCCAGTCAGTGGGAAAACAGGAAAGGAAGAGGAGCTTTGTGGAGTTTGTTTAAAGGAAGGAAGGAGTGAGGAGAGGATTTATAGGGGGTGGGGTGCGCATAGGAGTTGTTAAGATGCAGGAAGACAGAGCTGAGCCTCCTGGTGGCTCTCTGGAAAGGCACCCTTGCCCTGACACCTTTGAATCTCACTCGTGTGCTGTCAAGAACACGCAGACAGGCATTTATGGAGAGACCTCTGGGTACTTTACCCTGGAGAACGCTTGAGGACAACAGACCAACACTGGGCACTGCCCTTGGTGAAACCCTAGCACAGTCAGGAAGGGTAGGAAATAACAGAAGACGAAGAGGAACAGAGGTGGAGATTGTAATGTATACAGAGGACTGGCTTGCCTCCTTTGGGACTGGTGAGAGGCAACTATAATGTTAATAGCTGCTCCTTCTTGTAGTCCAGCTCTGTGCTGAGCACCCGGCCCATCCGTGGACCTGTGGATATTATATTGTTCCCTCCTCACCTTGGGAGGAAGAGCCACTGTTATCCACATTCTATAGTTGGGGATATCAAGATACCCAGGGGGACACAGGTACTAACCAGTGAAGGCAGGTTTGAACCTGAGCTGTCAGACTCCACAGCCTAAGCACCAAGTTGGGAGCTGGATGGGTGGGGGAAGGTCATTTTGGAAAGGCCCTTGATTCTGCCCTGGTTTCTAGGTACAGGAGTGACTGATGTAATGCTGGAGGATCCTCACATCTTGGGGACAGAATGGCTAGGACAGCTGTGAGGAAGAGGAGATTGCATCCCCCTTTACTCCCTTGGCTGTGTCATCCTTGGGGGCAGTTGGTTCCTTCTGGCAAATGTGTGTCTATGTGTGGAGTCTTTCTCCACAGAGACGATGTACACAGAAATTCATATCGAGTGTTTGTGATAAAAACGGAAGTGAGGGGCACCTGGCTGGCTAAGTCAGTAAAGCATCTGATTCTTGATCTCAGGGTTGTGAGTGCAAGCCCCACATTGGGTGTAGAGATTAATTTAAAATATTAACAACAACAACAACAACAACAACAACAACAACAACAACAACCAGAGGTGAGAGGTAGGGAACAAATCCTGGGTAGAACAGGTGGAACTGGTAGAAATGGGCTGCCTGTCTTCCCAGAGAGGGGCAATTTTTCCACTACAGTGTTGTTACAATGGCTCAGTTTTAACAGTGATGGCATAAGATACAGCAGGTGCTTGGCTGTGTTGTCCAAGGTCCCCCAGAGTGTATCCCATCTCCACACACAAACGCTCTTCTCCCCCCACCCTTTATCCCTTTGCAGGCTCTATCATCTGGGGACATTCATGCAGTGCCCCCAGCTCCTTTGAGCAGCCCCTTGCCTGGGATCCAGCTGTGTACCCCTCATGGCATCTGCACACCTGCTCAGGACGCTCTGTATTCCCCAAGCCTCCCACTAGGGACAAGAGTCATGAAAGGGCAGGCAGATGCCATGGGGTGCGCTACCTTCTGCACCCTCAGCCTGACTGCTGGGCTCTGTTCACGGTGAAATGATACTCACCACCACTCTGCCCTGTCCTAGAATAAGGAGGGGTATAAGGAAGTATGTCTGTGCAAGTGGATTTGGACATTTCAGACAATAAATGCCATTCGCTTGTATCAGAGTCCAGCCAGAGAAAAATGGCATGCTCAAATTGATAATCTGAGGAGTGTTTAAAAGGGGAGCTGTTAGACATAGTTTTATTTTTTTTAATGTTTATTTTTTCTTGAGCATGAGAGACAGAGCATGAGCAGGGGACAGGCAGAGTGAGAGAGGGATACAGAATCTGAAGCAGGCTCCAGGCTCTGAGCTGTTAGCACAGAGCCAGACATGGAGCTCGAACTTACGAGCCGTGAGATCATGACCTGAGCCAAAGTCGGACGCTCAACTGACTAAGCCATCCAGGTGCCCCAAAGGGGAGCTGTTTAGAAAGGGCAGGTATAGGGAAGCCACAAGTGGACATTACCAGGACCTGGTAGGCCTGAGCAGCATGGGGAAGGGGCAGGTAATGGAACCTGGGGATAGACAGGGCTACTGAGAGCATGGCAGAGCCGTGACTTTAGGTCAAAGATGCAGAGAGCCCATAGTGATCTTGATACTGCAGGGAGGGATCTGGGGGAGTAACTACCCCTATATCACCCTCCTCCTTCCCTCTGTTCTCCTAGTGGGGCTCCTCATGGATTGAGCATGAACAGAATCCAGAGAGCAAGGGACCCTGGTGATGCCATCCCAGGGAAGAGGAGGCAGAGAGGGATAGAGAGACAGTCTAGAAGGTCCAGTGGAAGACACCTGATGTGTCCCTTAAGTTTACCTGGCATTTAGAGTTTACAAAAAAGTTCCAGACAGTCATAGTCCTCACAACAACCCTGTGAAGTAGGTAGGGCAATGATTATAATCCTATTTCATAGATGAGCACACTGAGGTTCAGAGAGGCAAAATAACTTGCCCAAGGTCATAGGATTCATCTTGAGATGTTAAGTTCAGGGACCATCTCTGAGAGGGTCCTTGTGGGAAGAAATGGTTCTTCTGGCCATTCAGCTGCTGAAGAAAGCTCCTCAATCCGGAGTCTTGGGAATCCAGAATCTTGGGGGGCATTGGGAGTGCAGACCAGGTAACCCTGGGCTTCAGAAGACATCTGTACGGAGTGGGAGAGGCTGTTCCATGCCACTGATGAGGAGATTGGGCTCTTGGGAGAGCACAGAGGGATTGCGTACCATTGAGGTCCCCACACTGCCCACAGTGACCTCCCTTTCCTCTTGCCGAAGGTGCCGGAGAATCTCCTGTGACAGGGAGAAGTTGCTTCCCTCTTCGGGTTCTGGAACAGGGATGGAGAAGGTGTGGATGAAGACCTCATATGTTCTCATTTTAACATACCCTGAGGACTGCTGGGCAGATCCTCCAAACCTTCTTCTCCCGCACATCCCAGCACCCCCTCCCCTTCACTGAACTCTGGGGCTAGAGTTTCATGGAATTCTAGAACTAGAAGTGGTTTTAGAGATAACAGAATTCCACCTTCCCAGTTTTCAAGATGATGCACAGAGAGGGGCAGGGACCTGTCAAAGTCACACAGTGATGCAGTAGCAGAGCTGAGGCTGCAGCCCCTATGTCTTTGCTCCTGACCTGGGGCTCTTCTGCTTCTTCTGGCATCCCTAGATGAAGTGAGGCGCCCCTAGAACCCATCTCTTTACACTCCACCCAGGACAAATAGCTGAACACCTCAGAAAGCAGTTGAGTGCCCTAGGTGGAGAGGTAGGACCTCTCCCAGGGAGGAAGAATGCAGGGCTTGAATGCCTTGACCACTTGGGAAGGCCCAGGACCTGGTGCTGTCATATCTATTTCTAACCCCTCAGGACACCTGACTCTTCCTGCCCTATAGCCTATCAACCCCTCACCCTGGTAGACAATGAGGCGGCAGTTGTTCTGACACTCAGGGGTGTCTGCCAGGATGTCTTCAAGTATTCGGCAGAAGAGTTTGGCCTGCTCAAGCCGATCCTCCCGGCTAAAGCCAGCTCGGCCATCCTGTGACATGGCAAAAAGGGTCTGCAAGGGGGTGGCGTACTCCAGAACACAGATGCCTGCCTGGAGGAGGTGAGAGGAATACGAGACTCAACCAGGGCCCAGGCAGACAGACTCTGGACCCTAGTGCCACTACTGGGGCCCCCCTCCCTCAGCCTGTAGAGATGGAGCACTGGGAGGAGGTTACCCTGATGGGATCTATGCTGTCTGGTGGTCTTTGCTCCTAAAATCAGGACCAGGACTTTGCTAAATTTATCCTTCACAGATCCTCCCCCTCAGATCCCAGGGCAAGGCCCATCAAGTCACCTGCTGTCAACTGCTCCAGCTGGAAACGAATTTGGGAGCTGGGCCCTGGGGTTCAACCTGTTCTTGGTTTCCCTCAATCTATGTGAAATCTTTCAGACATTTTCAGAACCTCATCTAGGACAGCTCTATGGTCAAGTGCAAGGTATACTCAGGTTGAAACCATCCACTGTCTTGCTGGTTCTCTGAGTCTCAGTTTCCTTATCTGTAAAGTAGGGGTCATAACCATCCTTACCTCACAAGAAGGCAGTGAGGGTTAAATGAGGCGGTCACATGAATACCATCCGGTATGCAGTAAGTGCTAAATAAGGGTTACTTATCATTGTCACCATTCAGAGCTGAATCTTGGCACCAACTGGAGAAATTGAGGCTCAGAGAAAGGCAGTGAATTTTTATCAGTGCTTGGCCAGCGGTCAGAATTCTGGTGCTCTGGGCCTGACTCCTCCTTAGCAGCACCCACCTCACTGCACACTCACCTGTTGCCCGTTTTCCAGAAGCGCATAGACGCTGTTGGTGTAAACCCGGCCCTTGATGCCAGCGCGGTCAGCGCTTTGCTGGGGCAGC